GCTGAAGAAGTATAATTATTGGACTGGTGCCATAAATTCGTTAGAAAATAACATTTTTATCATCAAAAGAATATATTAAAACCGAATTATAACGAGAAACCGTTCCTAGACTTTGTCCTTTTCAACTGGATGGTATATGTCCATCAGCAGTTTACCATTAGATAAAGAAGTATGATTATTGGATTGGGGGGTATAAATTCGTTAGAAAATAACATTTTTATCATCAAAAGAATATATTAAAACCGAATTATAACAAGAAAACTTTCCTGGACTGGGTCCTTTTGAACTGGATGGCATGTGTCCATCAGCAGTTTACCATTAGCTGAAGAAGTATGATTATTGGATTGGGGGTATAAATTCGTTAGAAAATAACATTTTTATCATCAAAAGAATATATTAAAACCGAATTATAACGAGAAAACTTTCCTGGACTGGGTCCTTTTGAACTGGATGGCATCTGTCCATCACAATATGGCAGCGCTGTCGCCATCGCTTGTCACACAAAGTTGATCACGTGCATCTTAATTGGTTTTGCGATTACCATATAAAACCCTAATAGATTCGACAGCGACGATTGCTTGGGCCACTCCAGATTTTACCATCAGGGCTAGGTATAATTAAAACCGAAATTTATCCAATTGTCCGGTATGGATTTGCGTTCGTCGGCTCCCATTAGATCGAAACGTCAAAATATCGTCGTAGAATCATGCTGTTGTCGGGACGAATCTCGACAATACTCGATAACCGAATTAGCAGGGTTTGGTTTCGATTAAAATCGATGAAAAAAGGAACGTAATTTGGACGATACTGCAAAACAGATGTTTACTTGTTTACGTTTTTTTTCCAGACTTTTTTCGATAATTGTTTGTTTTTTTGATGCGGAACTAGTGATATTAACTGAAAAATTTAATTAACAAAGCACAAATACATACGTTGAAGCAGGTAGAGCTAAATATATTTTTTTTACTCTTTGTTTTTATTCACATAAAATCTAGATAAAACCACAAATATATATTCAACCATATCTGTTTTTCCTATCTTCTGTAATGTGCCTTGGAAAATAAGCCTAAAGCATAATGTTCGAAATAGGATAAAACCAGGGTAAAAGTATGAACATTAAAAATGTAAATATGGCCTTTTATTTGCTTTTTTCCACGTCTGCATAGCACCAGATAATGTTTTCGAAAATTACTATCTAATTCGAATTCAAACGATGGTAAAAACCAACACAAACTTTGTGTCTAAAAGCAGAAATAATAGAATTAGTTCTTAGAGAATCGCAGATTTTTATAATATTTTATATATACCATACGAACGAAAAAAAATGGCGTCAAAGATGGTTGAGGAATGACAATCGATGATAATTTTGATGAGGTCAAGCTTTAGACTTCATTTACATTGGCTCGTGTCATGTACCATTTGTGTTCGGGAAGGGATCATAGTTTCATAGTTGTCGATGTTCCAAAGAAATCAGTACATGTATATTATTTGGTATATTTTTCATTTTATTGATTTTATGGAAAGCACTCTTCATTAAACTGTTGTATCCTATGTTATAGGGCTTGTTTCTCTCTACAATTTCCTGTTTCACAATGTACCGTTTGTGTCCGGGAAGGGTTCATAGTTTCATAGTTGTCGATTTTCGAAAGAAATCAGTACATGTATACTATTTCGTATATTTATCATTTTATTGATTTTAAGGAAAGCACTGTTTATTAAAATGTTCTATCCTATGTTATAGGGCTTGTTTCTCTCTACAATTTCCTGTTTCACAATGTACCGTTTATGTCCGGGAAGGGTTCATAGTTTCATAGTTGTCGATTTTCGAAAAAAATCAGTACATGTATATTATTTCGTATATTTTTCATTTTATTGATTTTATATAAAGCACTGTTCATTAAAATGTTGTATCCTATGTTATAGGGCTTGTTTCTCTCTACAATTTCCTGTTTCACAATGTACCGTTTGTGTCCGGGAAGGGTTCATAGTTTCATAGTTGTCGATTTGCTAATCTCAACTATCCTTTCGTCAAATTCTTTTTTAATCTTTCTACAATTAGTGTTAATTAAAGTTTAATGTCAATTTTTAGCAAATGACGTTTACAGATCGACGTCGCCAAAATTTTTCCATCAAAAAAGCCATCTTTGACGCCGTTTTTTTTTTCGTTCGTATTCGTATTGTATTATCTATATTAAAATATTGAATTTATTGTAAATATACCAAATAATCTAAAACTGTTTTATTAAATAATCAATTAAATTCGTTCCCTTTAAATAAAACTTTTAGTAACCTTTATTCTATACAGAGTGAGTCTTAAATAAGTTCAAATATTTTTAAACCCCAGAAATATTTTGAAAATTTGGAATTTTTTGAAAAAAAAATTGGATTTTTTTATTTTTTAGTTAAAAACATAATTTCTTGATAATATGGCAAAATAGGTGGTAGATTAAATTTACAAGAAATTAAACCAGGAAAAGATCCAGAAGTTCTCAAAATGTAAGCAAATAACCGTTTTTTTTTCAAAGTAAAATAACTCTAGGGTTATTTTGGACTTATCTGAAAAATGGTACAAGCCCTGAAAATATTTGCACTTACTTAAGACGTTACCCTGTATTACTCAAGAAAATATGCACGGAAAAATTAAGTATGTTGTTGACATGTAACACTAGAAAACACTTCTCATTAAGTTAGACGTAGTTTAAATGGTGCAGAAAAGGTTGAAGTGTGTATACTTGAGAAAATCTGTGCGGTGTATGCACAATTAGAACCACGAAAATTGAAATAATGCAGATGATGTTGCCGACATTTTTAAACTGGAATCATTGTCCTATTTTTTTATATTACCAACTTTATTTTTTTAATTTTTTTGTCATAAAAATATATTAATTTCTATGACAAAATATATATACATTATCTCTGTTAAAATATAATATTATGTCTGTTAAAAATAAGTTGTTTATCTGTAAACGTAACTGCTGTCAAGTAGTTTCCGTTGGATTAACGCCGCAGTATTTACAAAAAATAACTATTTTATTTTGTAGATTTTCTTTCAGTGGCGAAATACACATATAGAATTTTTTGGAGAGATGAATCCGCCACATATGTATAGGCATTTAAAAAAAATTAAAAAAACTTTTCGAATGTCTATAAATTGTTTCGTTTACTGTAAAGTAAAAATAGTTATTAATAAATTTAAAGAATAAATAAAAAATTCTAAAACACATACAATTTTAATCTAAAAATCTATTAAAAATATATTTTTGTTAAAATGTTTATTTTCAGAAAAATATACGCCACAAAAATGCAAGCTGTTGATAATAACCATCTATCAAAGAATGAAATCGAAATGCTATTACCATAGAAACGCTTTTTGACTTTTAGAACCTCAACCATATTTTCATGTTTTTTTTTTAACTTTTGTCTAAAACGGTGTGGAAATTTGGAAAAGTATAAATGGGATTAACCATTTTAGATCAAGCAAAAATAAATAATGTTTTTCCTCTTGTAAATACCCGGGGACATACCGTATGTTCAAAATATATCTTAATTGAATCCAGCATGTGCCTTATGTGCCTATATTGTTTCCAATAATATAGAAACAGCTTGTTTCAAATTGTAGCAAATACGACACTTGGACGTTCATTCTATCTCAAAATTATTAAACTTAATAATACTTTTAAGTATCTTTCTTTGTATAAACCATTCAGTAATAAGGAACATCATATTCTGTTCTCAAAAAATAAGTTTAGTGTCTTCAATTATAATATATTTGTATATAAATACATATATCTTATTTTATGTTAACATAACTTGAATGATTATTAAGAATGGCGATTCTATTATAAATGTACTCTAAATATATTAAAACTATAGACATTTTAAACGAAAGAACCTTGTATATTTGACATATTCTGTGTCATCTTAGATCATTTGTACCTGTATGAAAAACGTTCTGTGTTAACCTTTTGTTAAATAAAACAAACATGAAATATATTTTTACAGAAAAATATGGAAATATATATTTAGTAGCTGTCAGTCAACATTCTCGTGTTTACATTACTTTGCAATTGAATGTTTGTACCATATGATCGAAAAAAAATGCGTCAAACACGGCTGGAAAATGACAATCGATGATAATTTTGGTGAGGTCAAACCCTAAGCGTGTATCTGGAAAAACGTTCTATCCTTTTTTTAATTTTCCTATAATTAGTATTAACACAAACTAAATTATTGTAATTATTATTAAGTGGTATTAATTTTTGAAGTTTTATGTCAATAAATGGCGTCTATTTTTTTTCTACCATACAGTACAATAATAGTACATTAGCTGATTTTTTTTAATAAACTTATTTAACTGAAATGGCCACATTAAAGTTTTTGAAATAATTTATTAATAATAAAGACTGTTATTAATAATAAAAATTTATATAGGTCCCTACTGCGCTATTCTTCGAAGTTTATGTGCAGTTAAATAAAAAAAAAATAAAATTATGAACAATAAATTTTATTTTTTTTTAGTTAAGGGCTCTATATAGAAAAAAAATGGTAGATTTTAAAATGGTATTTTTAGATAATAAAGATCTACTGACATTAAATCATAAAAGTGAAGTCGGAACAATATACTGGGCGTTGCACTTAAAATAATTAAGATTTATTTACTGTACAACAATATATTTTTAAAAAATACTTTAAATTATCCCAAAATTTTATTTCAATACAAACTGTGGTCCTACTAGAGGCCGCCGGTTCGTATGAGGGGCGTCACCCTGTATATCATACATCATGCCCTTTTTTTAAATAATTTTATTTTAATATGGTATTTTTTTGGAAAAATAGAGTCTACATAACTATAATATTTTTAATTACATGTCTAGCAATATATTAACGAATTTATTAAAATTTATGTATATTTTTGTTTACACCCTGTATCATAAAATATTCTTAGTTAAAGATCTAAATAAAGAATTGTAACTAATAAGAAACAATTTATATTTTCTTACCCCAACAAGCTGAATCTAAAAACTTAAATCAAAACAATAGTTTTTATTACTTCTAATAGTTTGTTTCAGTCAAGTAATCATCCCAAATAACAACAAACACAAAAACAACACTTTTTATAAACTCAATCATTCAAAAAAACTGAAAAAAGTTACTTTTTCTTCGATTTTCAAAAGAAAACAAAACTTGAAAAAGCGCGAGCGCCAAAAACTTTGAGCGCGTCTCTCTAGCGTTCCCGAGTTCGTTCCCTGTGATCCAGATATTGTTCCGGCATCCGTTCTGGAGCATATCCCGAACGTTACTGACAGTAAAACGCGACGCTCACGGTCAGGGTTCTCCATTTTGCGAGATGCGTCGTCAACTTTTGTAATTTTTTTCCGGTCATATTTTTTCCTCGGTATCTATTTTGCATAATGTTAACATTAACGCGATTCTCAATGACTTGGAAACGGTAACAATATTACTAGTATTAAAAGAGTTATTTTTTATACATGACGATAAAATCGTATCGACCGAAAAGATTAATTCACGAACGATGAAATCTTGTACTGGATTGGCTTTGGTTTCTATGTAATTTGACAAATAAATAAAGCTGTCTCTTTAGTTGTCAGTTTTGAGTGAATATTTTTTAATTCTCTTTCGTGTCGATTGCTGATTGAATTGGAGCCAGAAATGGCTCAAAACGAAATAAGTAAATTACCAACAGATATTCAGGCTCAGATTCATATCCAAACTACTTCCGTTTAAATCCCGAATAACTTATGAAAAGGAATAAAAAAAATTCAAAAATGACAATTAAAAAACGTGCGAGAAGAAATAAAGTTTTTAACCTATCCTCGCTGTTAAAGTATTATTTTATCTACTATTTTTGATAGATATAAGGCAATTTTAACAGTTGCTATATATGGAAAAGACGTCAATTTTTATGAGTATGTATGGAAAATGTATATGTAAATATTTGATTTCATTTCTGGCAAGCATATTAATGATTTAATATTCGAAAAACCTGGACGGCAGGGCCTATTCAAATCCAGAAAAAAAGGAAGGGAACGAATAAGGGATTGAAGGGTGAAAGCGTGTGTAAAAAAGCAGTTTAATTAATATAATAAAGGGAAAAATAAATTTCGCAAAATTTGAAACGCCGAACTTGATTAATATGCCGTTTAAACAAAGAGATGGATTTTTTTTATTGGCTTGAAGCTTGGATATGGATTAGGTTATCAATTTTATTACGTGGTGTAATAAATTTAACGGGCCTATTTGAAGTTTTTATGTATACTGGGTGTTGTAAATTCGACACTCATCATATTGGGAACTCGGAAACAGGAAGAGATACCCTATATCTCTTACCGTTTAGTAACTGGGCTTATCTTTGTCATTTCCTGATTTTTTTAACACGCATTGGCTTTTTATGAAAATATTCTTTGTTACAGATTTCTTATACCGGGTATTTCCCAAAATTGTCTCAACTCTATAGTTTTTTTATTTTTTTTTCACAGATAAAAAAACGATATTAATGTTAAACTTACCTTAAAGTGTTAATGTACCTCTGTTTTCAATACACTCGCTATAAGTCGTCGCGGTATCCAGTGGATAAGGTGGTTAATCTCTTCTTGGAGTATGGTATTCCAGGCCACCTGAACTTCGTTGCGTTTGTGGGGCTCCAATAAATTATGTAGCCATCTTCCCATCATATCCCTGACATGTTCTATTGTAGAAAGGTCTGGAGATCGAGGAAGCCACTGAAAAATATCCATACCAAAAGCTTAAAAAAATGCTAATTTAAATGTCATTTGTAGTATAACATAACCAGGGTAGTTCGACAAAGTTGAAGAGATAAGATCTTAGCCATCTGTAGAACAAAATAGTTTAAATGAAATAAAGGAACCTACTGGGAGGTTAATTAAATTTGAGGAGAATAGGTTATGTAAATCAAAATTTAAATTGGTAAATAGCCTTACTTATTTTATTAAATGAAATAAAATGTGCCGTACCTACTCTGGCTAGAATTCACAAGAGAAAAGAGCACGGCAGAGAAAATCTTGATCACTATTCCAAAAAATCCAATTGTTGTTCTGAACTTATGAAAAGTAATAATAATAACATAAAAAATACAGTCCACTTAATCAGGTTTATAGGTTAATACATTCAAAATTGAATTCTTTGCCACAGTAACCAGAACTTACGAACCAAAATAAAATCAATGCGTCGCGAAGGGTAGCCAGGTTTGTTCCAACCCGCCGCAGAACCGTCACCGAACGATCACGCTCGTGCGCAGTAATTCAAATGTGTTCCAACCAAGATTTGACGGTTATCGGACGATCCTGTTTGCGTACCAACCTACCTTGGGATCGTTTAGTGTTTAGTTACGATTTCAGAACGGTAATATCAGTACATGGTCCAAATTGAGAACTGCTTGGGTTGACTTGCGCATTAAACTAACCATATTGAACAGGGTTTATCGATTTTTAACAACTGATTCTGGTCCGGCGTCCGGCTGATGCTTCTGTCTTGGTTATTTTTTACGAATTCGAATACGTGTGCGTTATACTTTTGCTTGTGAGTTTGTGTGGAGTAAATCGTTCGGAAATTGTAACTAGGTAATTTTTTATTTATAAAATAATGTTTAAAAATTCTACCACTGCAATGAAATAACATGAAACTACGCATAACATGATCATAAAAAAGAGGAAAGGTAAGGGAGTTAGTGATTATACAGTTGAAACAACACTTACCAACAATTACTGGAATCTGATTCTCCAATTCAAGAATAATAAATATTATTATTGCAAATTGCAAATAAAAATAATAGGGTTATGTTATGAAATTCTAAACAAAAACAAAAAACCGATCGATACACGCACGCTTGACACTTTTGACAGTCCCGAAAACAATCCACACAGCATTCCAACGTTGATACTTTTTGCACCGTCCCGAAACTCTATTCGAAGTCCGCGCATGCTAACAAAGTGCAAAAAAACCGATTCGAGTACGATTTCGAAATGATCCCGAAATGCTGTTTGGAACAAACCTTAAGTCATACTGAACCAAAAACATCGACACGAATAAAATATGCTTTTAAACTGAAATTATTCCGAGTATAAATCGAATTCACATGTTATATAATACCTTTGTCAGACCAAATAAATAGAGAAAAACTTTAGCACAGAATATTACAACAGGAAAATAAACTATATGCCTTTAGTTAACACTAGTTAAATAACGAGAAAACATTATTTTCTTTACCTTTAATAACATTCTTTTGCCACAATAACCAGAACTTACAAACCAAAATAACATCAACGCGTCTCGAACGGTAGTCTAGGAGCGATTACCTAACATCTATCATCTCTGTTGTCTGATTTCCTTTTCCCCAGTTTGCAAATCATTTTTATATTATCAATATTTTAAAAATCAATAATTTTATTTATGTATACAGAGTGTCTTAAAACTGAATGTTTCGGATTTAAAGAAATGTGTTTATTTTTAAATAGGCATAATATTCTGAAACGATTAAAAAAACATCTAAAATTATAATTTATTCGAAATTTTCTATACGATTTGATGTCAAACCAAACTAATGACATCGAGCATATTTATTTCCTCAATATATCAGCCTTTCAGAATATGTATCTACATACATATTTTTTGTTATCTTTCGTTAATTAATTCTTCAATAAGTACAGTGGCACATTATTGTTTCCACTGACATACGATAATTAATTATTATTGGTTTTTGTTGTGTACGCTTGCAAATGAATCGTCAATTTTTTCTAATTGTTTTATTATACCTAGTTGTTATAAAAAATATTTAATATATCTACTGTGAATAATAATTAAAACAGTTCTGAACTAATTGGCATTACTATTCCCGATATTTAATAATATTTAAATGTTTTATCATAAAATAAAATAGAAATAGATTAATAATATTATATTACTCGCAAACCCAGCTAAAGTGAAATGAGAATTTTATTTTTCTACGACTAGCCTAGAAAATGCAGTTTGACACACGGAAAACTCGATCTGAAATTGACGTTTTGCAAACTATTCTGTGCCAAGGATTTAGAGCATGACATGTGTCATTTTGCACACGATATGTGCCAATTTTAACATGTTTAACCCCCAATGTTTAGCTGAAACGCCAAACGCAACGCAGCCGTTAGAAAAGTGTCATCATTACATCGCAAATTATTTCACAAAGCTGGCAAAAACTGAGTGAGTCTGCTGCTAATTTGTAGTCGTAGAAAAAATAGCGTAAAAAACTCGTTCAAAAACTTCTTTGTTCACTCGTTCGGCTTGTCGTCCAACAAACTGTCGTCCTCGTGTGCAAAACGTCGTTTTCGAAACTCGTTGTTTAATATACTATTGTCAGTGTTTTTTGTCTCGATTAATTTAACAGTTGTTGTCAGCTGCGTGACGTGAGCTGTCAATTGCTGAAGATGACGGAGTTCCAAACTAACTAATTTATTTAAAGATTTCTGTATAATTTTTTCCCTAGGTACTAAGACGATTCAAACAAATCAGAAACCAGTAAAATCAGTATATTATAATAGTAAAATGGCCTATATAAAAGTACCTGTTTAATAAAATTGTAAAAAAATGTAAACTAAATTTATTTATCAAAGTCTATATAAAATATGAGCAGCTATCATACATCCTCTTTAAATTTCAGGAAGAAAAAATATATAGGTAATAAAAGTTAATTTTTTTATATACTTTTATTGAAATAATTATTGTCTTTTTATGGTTTTCCTTGATATTAAGTTTTAGTTATTATTAGAGTTTTTATAGCCACTAAATTTTCTGAGATGTCACTTGCATATACAGGGTCGTCAGAATTGTATTGGATTTTTATTTCTATTTTTTTCAAATAATTTTTGAACTAACGTCGATATTTGTATGAAAATTTCACACCTCTACTTTTCAACCAATAACATGCTTTAATGTTGACTAGTTACCATGGCAACTGAAAAAATTTCCGGAAATTTTTTCGAGGCGCCACGAAACTTTAGTGGAAATTTTTTGACAGTTGAAAAGGTAAACATAAGATCTACAATCATAATGTGAATGAACTACAATGTCTATATATTGAAATATTACCCATTTGAGTTTTAGCATTTGATGTAACTAATTAAAATATAATAATATTTGTTAACATTATTAACAAATTGAAATTATTTTAAAATGTCATGTTGGATTAATATTTTTTTTCAAATTTAGGTGTGAAATTTTCTTACCGAATACCACGCAAGCTTAAATTATTCCTGGAAATTTTCTTTCGGGCACGAATATTTTAGGAAAATTATCCCTCGTCTTCGACTCGGGATAATTTTCAAAATATTCGTGCCTTCAAAAAAATTTCCGAAAATAATTTAAGCTCTTGTGATATTATAAGTGAAAATTTCACACCTCAACTTTTCAACCAATAACATGCTTTAATGTTGACTAGTTACCATGGCAACTGAAAAAATTTCCGGAAATTTTTTGACAGTTGAAAAGGTAAACATAAGATCTACAATCATAATGTGAATGAACTACAATGTCTATATATTGAAATATTACCCATTTGAGTTTTAGCATTTGATGTAACTAATTAAAAATATAATAATATTTGTTAATATTATTAACAAATTGAAATTATTTTAAAATGTCATGTTGGATTAATATTTTTTTTTTCTAATTTAGGTGTGAAATTTTCTTACCGAATACCACGCAAGCTTAGAATATTCCTGGAAATTTTCTTTCGGGCACGAATATTTTAGGAAAATTATCCCTCGTCTTCGACTCGGGATAATTTTCAAAATATTCGTGCCCTCAAAAAAATTTCCGAAAATAATTTAAGCTCTTGTGATATTATAAGTGAAAATTTCACACCCTACTTTTCAACCAATAACATGCTTTAATGTTGACTAGTTACCATGGCAACTGAAAAAATTTCCGGAAATTTTTCGAGGCGCCACTGAAACTTTAGTGGAAATTTTTGACAGTTGAAAAGGTAAACATAAGATCTACAATCATAATGTGAATGAACTACAATGTCTATATATTGAAATATTACCCATTTGAGTTTTAGCATTTGATGTAACTAATTAAAAAAATATAATAATATTTGTTAATATTATTAACAAATTGAAATTATTTTAAAATGTCATGTTGGATTAATATTTTTTTTTCAAATTTAGGTGTGAAATTTTCTTACCGAATACCACGCAAGCTTAAATTATTCCTGGAAATTTTCTTTCGGGCACGAATATTTTAGGAAAATTATCCCTCGTCTTCGACTCGGGATAATTTTCAAAATATTCGTGCCCTCAAAAAAATTTCCGAAAATAATTTAAGCTCTTGTGATATTATAAGTGAAAATTAGTGTCTTTTTGGTGTGGTGTCGCGGTAGTTTTATACAGGTACGGACGAAAAGTTATTACTCTTCAAAACAGTTAAAAAAAATAGGTAGGTGGTGCCCAAGTAGGAGTCATATTGACTTCAAAATCAAATTTGTCATGTCAAAAAACACGTAGACACTAATTTTATCAAAAATCGACTATAGTTTATTTGAAAAAAAAAACCGGAATAAATTTGAAACTTCTACACTCTGTATCTCCGAAACGAAGCATTTTAAGATATAAATATATAAGAACTTTTTTAATTATTTTATTATTAATGATGCCGAAGTTTGCCAAAGTGTCCCGAATACAATTCCTTATATAATAATTATACAGGGTGAGTCATAAATAAGTGCAAATATTTTAGTGGTAGTATATTTTGACTCCAGAAACACGTCTATCAGTTTTTTTCGCGGAGAAAATTTTTGAAGCTTCATTTTTTTCAATTTTTTTTTAGAAAATCTTTTAGTTTTTAGTTAGAAAACATAATATCTTGACAATATGACAACATAACTAGTAGATTAAATTTACAAAAAAAAGAACCCAGAAAAGATCGAGTGGTTCTCAAAATTTAAGCAAAAAATAATTTTTTGGAAATTTTCAAAGTAAAATAACTCCGTTATTTTCGACTTATTTGAAAAACGATAAAGAGAAAATATGTTTCTTTTATCGAGATCTATCCGCAATGAAAATATTATCACCCTGTATAATAATTATATACGAACTTTGTTTGCATTTTTTTTAATAGTGACAAACCAGCATTTGTATGTTTACCTTTGGTTTGTGTATGTAAGGTTTATGTAAACTATATTTACATCATCTGCCTAAGTATATAAAAAATATATTTATTTTTTTCCAGATGTTTTCCTTAATATAATAGCATTCTTTTGACCATTGATTCCAAAGCATGTGTTATATTATTTCACAAACCGGTCAAAACAAAGATATTATCGCGATAATCTAGAATTCCGATTAAAAAAAAATCTGTAACCCACTTTATAATTATGAAAACACAGAAAGAAAAAAATGTAGAGCACTCTTTGCCATACTTATTACCACTTTCAATTTCTTCATTCACTATATAGATACGCCTATTTACGTAACAATCTGACCGTCTGTCTGGTGAATGTCTAGGTTAGATTCCTACTATAAATTAGACCCGGTCATTTTTTTTTCGTCAGTCAGTACCACGGGTCAAACAGTACCTATTTGAAAACCAAGAAAACTTAACCAAAATGTTCGCAAAGGTACTATAATTAATATTTGTTTTTATTTTTTTTTAATACAAGGTATCTCAGAAATAAGTGCAAGTATTTTAACCGGTTCAACCCCAGAAACACGCCTATGAGGTTTTTTTCGCGAAATTTTTTTTTTTTAAAATTCGGAACTTTTTGAATTTTTTTTTTAGTTTTTAATTAAAACACATAATTTCTTGATAATATGGCAACATAGGTAGTAGATTAAATTTACAAGCAAGAAAATCCAGAAAAGATCCAGTGGTTCTCAAAATTTGAGCAAAAAATAATTTTTTTGGAAATTTTCACTTATAATATCACGAGAGCTTAAATTATTTTCGGAAATTCTTTTGAGGGCACGAATATTTTGAAAATTATCCCGAGTCGAAGACGAGGGATAATTTTCCTAAAATATTCGTGCCCGAAAGAAAATTTCCAGGAATAATTTAAGCTTGCGTGGTATTCGGTAAGAAAATTTCACACCTAAATTTGAAAAAAAAATATTAATCCAACATGACATTTTAATCCAACATGACAGCTTTAGTTAAATAAAGGCGGCAGAACTATATTTTTTAGAACATGGCAATTTCGAAGAAATTCATATGTAGGTATATCTAACATATTTCCTTAAATAAAAAATATTACCAACCTTAGTTACATCAAATGCTAAAACTCAAATGGGTAATATTTCAATATATAGACATTGTAGTTCATTCACATTATGATTGTAGATCTTATGTTTACCTTTTCAACTGTCAAAAAATTTCCACTAAAGTTTCGTGGCGCCTCGAAAAAATTTCCGGAAATTTTTTCAGTTGCCATGGTAACTAGTCAACATTAAAGCATGTTATTGGTTGAAAAGTAGAGGTGTGAAATTTTCAAAGTAAAATAACTCCGTTATTTTCGACTTATTTGAAGAACGATAAAGAGAAAATATGTTTCTTTTATCGAGATCTACCACCCCTTAGAATACTTGCACTTCTTTCTGGGACACCCTGTATACACTGACACTGTATACAGGGTGTTTCAAAAAAACATGTGCCATCTCTCTTGGGGAGATTCCTCACGTAAAAATAAGATCTATTTTTCATATCAACATAGGTCCGATTCTGCTTCCTTTCGTAGCTACAGGGTGTTAAAAGTTTAAAATTTTTTCGATTTATTATAATTTTCTTCCAAGTATTTTTAACCGGTTCGAATGAAATTTTGAGGGTAAAAATTACTATAAACGCGACATATTGTACTGCAAGGTATTACTTTTAAATCTTTTTATATTATTTGAAACGTTTGAAATTGCTTAAAAATTATTTTTGACGTTTGAAAAAAAAACATGTTCTATTCGGACTAAAAATGAGTAGATAAAACTTTGGATAAATATTTTTTCTAAGATATTCTAATGTGAATTTGTCTCTATTTCCAGATCTTCTTCATCTCCGCTCTTGTAGCTGTCTCCCAGGCTGGAGTCTTCGAACTCCCTTCAGCCCACTCCTATTCCGCCCCTGTTCTGGCCAAATACGCCCCCCAGCAAAGTGCTGACTACTATGCCCCCCCAAAATACGAATTCAACTACGGAGTACAAGACCCCCACACTGGCGACCACAAGACCCAGCACGAAGTACGGGAAGGTGATGTTGTAAAGGGTTCATACACCGTTGCCGAACCCGACGGTACCTTGAGAACCGTCCACTACACCGCTGACGACCACAACGGTTTCAATGCTGTCGTTGAGAAATCCGGACACCCTGTACATCCTGCACCAGCTAAGGTTGCTTATGCTGCCCCAGCTGCTTATGCTGCTCCAGCTGCGTATGCTGCCCCAGCTCATTACTACCATCATTAGGATTTGACAGTCAGTTAGAAGACACGGAATGCCATTTTTGTATATAATGTACTGACTATGAAAAAATGTGTAGCTTGTTTTAGAGGCCTTTAATTTTTGTATGAAGGCGTCTAGAACAGTGTGTTGTGTTATTTTTTCTTTTATTTATTCTTGTTTTTATATTTTTATACGAATTTATGAATAAATTTTGTATATTTGCAAACATGCATTTTTTTGTTAAGAAAAATCGTCAAGGTGTATATGAATTAATTCATACACATACTTCAACAATTTTTTAGTTTTTTTTCAGTGATTTAACTGTTTTCAAGAGTAATAACTTTTCGCCTGTACCTGTATAAAACTACTGAGTGAGAAAATATACATTCGTGATTTTCTACGTAAAAAATGTCTCTTGGTAAAAATCGCTACGAGCGACCTTCCTGAATACAGTTCGGACCACCCTGTATAGTATACAGAATTACAGAATCAAAATATATACTTCTATATTAGTAACACGCAAAGCAAAAAAAAACGTAATTATATGATATAAAAAAACCTCTAAGTAATGTTCAAAACCACAATTTCTTTCAAAACGTGAACTTGTATTATTCCTATTTAAATTATTAGATCGTATTTTTTATAGATTTTAATGTGGTGAACGTGTAAGTCCATTGTCAACTGACCTATATAAGACAAATTATTTATAAAATAGTTTAGTTATTGTGGTTTTATAAGTCGAAGAATAATGTTCAGAAATATAGTATTAAATCAGGTAAAAATAACTCTCTTGTCACATCAAAATAAAACACTAATTCGCCACAATACACCAGAACACTTTACTTCTGAACAGTACGCGCATTTTTGCACCCACTAATATACAGGGTGTTCCATTTAATAAAGCGAAGAAAAATTATTTTACATTTTAGAAAGTTTGGCGTAAAATTTTGAACATCCTGTATGATATACGATTACCATATTTATAGCAAAGTAAGTACAGACCATCTAAAAAATAAATATCTAATATAGTTTGGATATCAGGACAGTTCTTTTATTTTCAATAATTTTTTAAGAAAGGCTAAAAAATATATATTTTTTATTTATTTATTAATATCTCTAAAACTATCGAAATATATTTACTCATATCTTAGGATTATGTAAAGTGATCTGATAAGAAGACAAAAATTCCATAATATACAGGGCGTTCCATTTAAAAAAAATTATCCCGATCCACTCACACGTTTTTAAGCCACCTATAGAATTTAAAATATTTTCCTGGAATACATCTAGAAACAGAAATAAACGGGTTTGAACAAAAAATGAACAGGTCTGTTGTTTTAAACTAAAAAGCCGTTAAAAGCAGTTCAAAAGCTGTTGTTTCTTGTTTAAACCTGTTTATTCTTGTTTATTAGCCTATTTTAACTGTTCCTAGCTGATGACGTCACTTCCGGCTCCTTGCTCCACTGCTCCACTGATGGTGAAACCCCCTTCTACCTCTACTAGTATAGTTCAACCCCAGAAAGAAGCCTATGAGGTTTTTTCGCGAAAAAAATTGTAAATTCGACATTTTTTGAAGAAAAAATTGGATTGTTTTTAGTTTTTAGTTAAAAAACATAATTTCTTGATAATATGGCAACATAGGTATTAGATTAAATTTACAAGAGAGAAAATGCAGAAAAGATTCAGTGGTTCTCAAAATGTTTTCAAAAAATCATTTATTTTGGAAATTTTCAAAATAAAATATCTCTGTTATTTTGTACTTACTTGAAAAACGATAATGAGAAAATATGTTTTTTTTATCGAGAACTACCACCCTTTAAAATACTTGCACTTATTTCTGGGACACCCTGTCTATAAGACTTACACTTTTTATTTTCAAATAGATATCCATTTTGATGTTGCTGGCAATCATCGAAACTCAAAGCTTGGAAGAATCAATAAACGTAGAAGTACCAGTGTCCTACCTCAATTCCCTAAAATACACCTCCATAATTCCTTTTGGTGCTCAAGGTAGTTCTAACAAACTACGCTTGGATCAGTACCAATACAGTTATGGTGTAGCCGATCCTGAAACAGGTGATAACAAAGATCATTACGAAATTAGAGACGGTGATGTGGTTAAAGGATCTTATACCATAGCCGAACCGGATGGTACAGTTAGAACAGTGAAGTACACCGCTGATCAAAACGGTTTTAATGCTGTGGTAGGGAAATCTGGACAATCTGTATAATTTTTTAATTAGTATGTATCAAAATAAATTGAATATTTTGTTTGTAGGGATGGTATTATTGTTTGATTTCTTGTCTCTGATAAAAAGATCTCTTGTTATTATATGTATTATTATAAATCATTAATGCAGAAACTAAAGATATTTACGATTATTAAGTTTTTAAAATGTCACCCTGTATTGTGATTAGCCACAGAATCAAAATTTAACAGGTTGAAGAATTCTTTACAGATCATAATACATTACAGACCTTAATATAGAGCCAATAATAAACTTTCAATCTTCGACCTAAGGTCTTCATTTTATTAATATTATTATTTACACTGCATTTCTATGCTTTAAAACGAGAAAATTGAGAAATTCATCTAGTAAGTCGATAGTTAAGTGAAAGCCCAACACACTTACAATTTTCTTTTAAAAAAGAACTCTTATTTAATAAAGGAAGAATCTCTCTCAAAGTAGCTCAAAGCCCTGAGCAGCTTAGATTTTGTTATAGAAAAATTATATAAGTCGATTCCGTCTTCGAGATAGAGTTCTTGTAAGACGTCTTTTTCCTATGGGAGTTGGGTTAAATTAATTTCCTTTTTTTTGCTGCAAAATGATCTAGATATTAAAATACGAAAATAGAATGAGAAATGGTTACGGTTAAATATATTAAAAGCGTAGAATAAGCTTTTGTAACTATAAGATTTTAGTCTATTTGTGAAGAAAGATTAACTTTTTTAATTTTATACTGCAAAGGGCTCTTTAACTCAAACGGTTTTCCAGATTTTCAAAAAAATCTGTTTTTTCAATTTTATTTTTATAGTAAAATTCAAAATTAATTAACGATGATTTTTTTTCTAATTCTTAGAAATCTAAGACATCTAAAAATAATATGATCATGGTTTTTAAACGAAAAGCCGATTTTTAGCGGAGGAAAGAAAATTAAAATCTTCATTGTTTAATCTTTGTGAAACATGGCACACACTAAAAATCGTCAGAAAATGTCTTTTAATACTCCTTTACAATCAGGAATTTTTTAGAATTTTTTGAAGTGGTGGAAAAATATGAAAGAAATTAAAAACTCAATTTTTTTCTAAAATCTTCTGTTTTAACTAACTTATATTTTTGTTTAGTTTAAAAAAGTGCGTCGGAAAATATTTTTTTATTAAAAATACATCCTTGCCTGAAATAAACATAAAAATTATTATAAAAAAATGAGTCCGAGAAGATTTTAGAAAAAAAAGATTTAAAAAAATGAGTTTTTAATTTTTTTCATATTGTTCCACCAATTCAAAAAATTCTAAAAAAGTCCTGAGTGTAAAGAAGTGGTACCTAATTCGTGGTACGAAAATTGTTTTTTATGACGATTTTTTTTCCTGTGCTGGACCCGGCATAAGAGCCAATATTTTTTTTCTGGATCTACTTTTTTTGTTTTTAATAAATACGAACTTTTGACTACAGATAAAAAAAACTTATGTAAATTTATTAATATTAACTGGTGACCCAGAAATCTCTACAAAATCATTAGCATTCAAATTTTTATATTGTCTCCTTTGTAATTAGTAATAAATTTTCATGAACTGAATAATACAATTTGTTTTTCTTGGAATTAAAAAAGAGAAACATTGTTTTGGAACGAGATACAGACTGTTTATTTAAGTGAAGAAAAATATGAAATAATGAAAGAACAAGCAATTAAGAATTGAAATATCTGATCTTTTTTTATGTAAAAAGCTCCTGAAGTTTTTCAGTAGCACATTTTTTGAATACAAATTTGCATAGTTAGGGGAAAAATATTTTTATTGTGGACAATAAATAGGGTTGTCTAGTTATTTTGTAGTAGCACTAAATTTCATGTTGTTGTAAGTCAATGAATACTGGTTATAACCAAAATTATGGTTTTAGAAAAAAAGTCATTTTTGCAAATATACAAAATTTATTTATAAATTCGTATAAAAAGGAAAAACAAGAATAAATAAAAGAAGAAACAACACAACATAATGTTCTAAAAACCTTCAAAAAAACTAAAGGCTTCCAAAACAATCTACACACATTTTCACAGATAGTACATTATAATATACAAAAATGGCATTCTGTCTTCTAATTCACTACAAAACCCTAATGATGGTAGTAATGAGCTGGGGCAGCATAAGCAGCTGGGACAGCATAAGCAACCTTAGCTGGAGCGGGATGTACAGGGTGTCCGGATTTCTCAACGACAGCGTTGAAACCGTTGTGGTCGTCAGCGGTGTAGTGGACGGTTCTCAAGGTACCATCAGGTTCAGCAACGCTGTAGGAACCCTTTACAACATCACCATCACGTACTTCGTGCTGGGTCTTGTGGTCACCAGTGTGGGGGTCTTGAACTCCGTAGTTGTACTCGTATTTGGGGTGGGCAAAGTAGTCTACGCTTTCGTGTCCGTGGGCGTAGGCTGGGGCGGCGTGGGAGTATACAGGGGCGGCATGAGAGTAGACTGGGGCGGCGTGGGAATATACAGGGGCGGCAGCAATGGAGGAGTACGATGAAGCATGGCCGTGAGGGTATTCTAGGAGGCCAGCTTGGGCTACAGCTACCAAAGCAGCCACGGAAAGAATCTGAAATGAAACAATATAATTTAGTCAATATTTAATGAAATAGTATACAGGGTGGTCCAAACTGTATTCCGGAAACTTCGGCAGCATATGATGCAGATAAAAATATGTAAAAAAGTTAATATACATGTATGTTCTAAAGTGCTTCGTTTCGGGAATATTTTTCATTTTTTCTTAAGAAACTATTTGAGACAGAGGTTACCAAAAATGTTTTTTTTTATATCTTCTACCGGGTAAATGAATTTGTAGATATAGTATGACTTTTTTTGAAACTTTAGTTTCGGAGATATAAATTTAATCGGACTTTTTAAAAAAATAATTTTTATTAAAAAACTATTTGAGACAGAGTTTACCAAAAACTTTTTTTTATTTTATGAGTTTCATTGTTATTTCGATTTTTTCCGAATAATTTCTGAAGTAACGTCAAAATGTCATTGTAAATTGGTGTCTTGGAGTTTTTTGACATGAGAAATTTGATTTTGAGGCGCCACCTATATGAGTTTAAACTATTTTGATGTATTAAACTACTGAGTGAAAAAATATACATCTCCGTGACTTTTTATGTAAAAAATATCTTTTGGTAAAAATCGCTACAAGCAACCGACAAAAAATACCACGTTGATACAACCTATTGAGAATAAATAAACACGTTGATTTGACTGAAATAATTTTTTTAAATTAATCATAAATTTTTCTTCGAAAACATGATGATAAAACAGTCTCTGTTGAATTTTTAGCACAAAAACATTTCAAATGTATGATTTCAGTCTAAAAACTATTTAGTCAAAATGTTTAATTTATGTCTAATTTGGATTCCAAATATCTCGAGAACTATTATTCGTAGCGATTTTTACCAAGAAACATTTTTTACGTAAAAAACGTCGTAAATGTATATTTTTTTACTCAATAGTTTTATACAGGTACGGACGAAAAGTTATTACTCTTCAAACAAGTAAAAAAAAATATGTATGTGGCGCCCTCTACAAGTAGGAATCATATTGACATTAAAATCAAATTTCTCGTGTCAAAAAACTCCTAGACTACCAATTTTTATTAAAAATATTAACCTTACTTCAGAAATTATTTGGAAAAAATCGAAATAAAAATAAAACTTCTATACCCTGTATCTCCGAAACTAAACATTTTAGGACATACATTTATACAAACTTTTTTACTTGTTTTTATCTGCAAAATATAAAAAGTTAATAGAGGTGAGCCACTTTAGAGAAACACCCTGTATAGGGACATCAATAGGAGTTTTATTGACTTTTTTTTTAGGTTGCAACTGGTAAAATGTTTCATAAAATACTGTAAAATATAGGAAGAAAAGCAACAGGAAATATATTTTGATATGATCCAACGTAATGCAAGTTGGGAATAGGAGTTTCTATATGTCGGGGCGCAATTTTCGCATAAAGAGTGGAACAGAGGGCGGAAAAGTGTAGAACAGCGGTGCCATTACGTTGTTCGTTTTGCGGCAAATACAAAGAAATATTCTAGCATACATTTCCGGAGCGCCAAACATGTAGTGCGCCGCCCAAACTCAACTAATTTCCTACTACTAGGAATATACCTATACTATTTTACCGTTCGTTCTTTTCGTCCTTTTATTTTCAAATTTTCTCTTTTGGCGTATACCTACCATATTTTGTTGCGACCTTAATATAAAACGATGTTTCTGTTTGTGGTTATTGTACGTAGACGTGGAAAAAGTAAATATGAGTCAAGACATTTGTCTCACTCATATAATTTTGTATTTTTTCAGATAAAATAACAACGAGATTTTTATGTATATTAGTATATACATAAAAATCTCGTTATATAGGTATGTTAGTATATGACATAAATTAGGATTGATTGGCGTATTTAGTTGTTTTTGGTCACTACCTGTTTCACCGGAAATGTATCACCCTCGGTATTTTTTATTTTATTTCATAGCAAATGACATTCTGAATAGAATGACATATCATATGTCACCTTTTGACATTTTTGTTTAAAAAAAATTGTATTTTCAATTTCAATTTAGAGTGCCACATGGCTGTGTTAAAAACACTCATTTTTAATCAAGGAGCCTTGGAAAAATAGATTTGATCGTCTAATGTTTTTGGTGTTTTTTCCTGGCGTATTAAAAGATGCCCAAATCATATTTTTAATAGTATCTCAATTTTTTCAAATGGAACAAGGGTGGCTCATTGGCATATTTGGAAAAAGCATTTTTTTATGAATAATTTGGTACCACACACTTGGTATTTCCAGTCAAATTGTCGTTATGAACCGCATGTTATAATTTCGAATATGTCAAATATTGGCATATGATATGCCATTCTATTCAGAGTGTCATTTTCTATCAAATAAAGCAAAAAATACCAAGAGTGTCATTTAAAAATCAAAAGTTGTAGTTATTTCCGGTGAAACAGGAAGTGGCCGAAAACAATTGAATACGTCAATCAATCCCAATTTATGTCATATACTAACATACCAAATATCGTTGATTAATCTGAAAAAATAAAAAAGTTATAGGGGGTGAGCCACTTTTGAGACGCACCCGGTACAGAAAGTGGCATTGTATTTTACTTTTAAAGTACTCTTAGTGGCATTGTATTTACCAAAGATTGGCACATTTGAGGAGAAAAACTATCCCAAATTTCCTGCAGTTTTGTCCGCAAATCAAAAATTGTTCGTTGAGGGTGGTTTCTTAAATATTGCTTCATTTTATGCCACACAGTTTCTATAACATTAAGGTCCGGACTACTTGCAGGATAGTATAGAACTTTTATATTATTATTACCGAACCAATTTTTAGTTGATTTTGCTGAATGGCATGATGCTCCATCTTGTTGAAAAATATAGTTTTCCTTTGGAAACAATTCTTGAGCACTAGGCAAAAGTGAAGTCTCAAGTATATGTTGATATTTTTGGGCGTTAACAGTGCCATCTATAAAATTTAATTTGCCCAAACCTCTTGCTGACATGCAACCCCAAACCATAATCCCCTTAGGAAATTTAACAACCCTCTTTAAGCAATCTTTATGAAAGGCTTCTGCTTTATATTTCGTATTATTCTTTTTCGATGATCTCCAACGCAAACATCAAATTTAGACTCATCGCTAAATAAGGTTATTCCAATCATTTTGTGTCCACGATAATTTAGATTTTGCCCAATTGTATCGATTTTTCTTTTGAATTTCTGTCAGTAGCGGTTTTTCTTTGGCCTAAATAAGAATTTGTATCAATAATCTTCAGGTAATTGATCATCCACACAAAATAAAGTTTACCTTGTAAACCCCCAGACCGCATTTATGGATATATTTTCGGCAACATTCTCTTGATATATTTAATCCAGTTATAGTATTCCATTTAACTGTTACTTCGCCAAGAGTACTTCTTCTCGCAGACTTGCAAATTTTTACTAAATTTCGTAAATCTCTCTGAGATACAACTTTTGGCCTTTCCGAACTTTTACCTCTAACGCCTACACTCGCAGATTCGCCGTATTTTTTTATTATATTAAAGACCGTGGTTTTTGGAATACTTAAATCATCAGAAATTTTTCCCGTACTTTATTGACGAATGATAATTTCGCGTAGTTTTTGATTTGTAGCTTTTCCACAGACCATTACTTTGGATTAAATTAACAAAATTGAAAATTTTTGAGATGGAACCATGATATTAGGATATTAGCAGTGATAACTTAGGCCTGGCATAATGAACAATAGGCCCAACTACAAAGAGAGTATCTAAATATGTGAGGAAAGCTACACCATAACTATCACAGAACAGTAACTATCACAGAGCACGATACAAAACTACTAAGTATGTACTTACTTTGGAGAACATGATGTTGATAGAATGATACCTGTTTGAACTATACTCCCATAACCACACCAGTACATATTTATATAGTAATTAAAGCTCGTACTGCGTGTGAATAAAGTACCCCACCATCTCTAATTTTTTTCTCAACCACGCAACCACGTCTTATCCCAAAATGTACGATAATATGAAAGTGTTTCGTTTGCCGCCAAAATCTAGATAGCTAATCGTGACCTAGTAATCTTGAGGCAACGCCATAAAAAAATCGGCATAATAACAAGAGCTATTGTCAGTTTTTAATGGTGCTGTTTATGTAAGAACAATGATGGTAATCGATATGATCGATATGGTATGGATTTTTTTGGGTGGTACCAATATAATCATTATTTTTCTTTATTGGGATTAGATGTCTTAAAATAGAGATAGAAAAATATTTAGAAGGCTCATGCTCTGATAAATATAGTAAATTTATTGATAAGTATATTCATTTAAATAACAATTATTCCTTAAGTGACTCGCTGATTAATCACGATCCTGCTCAAACCACTCAACGTAAGAAGCTCAATTTTGGCATACAGGTTGATTCTAGGGTGTAGTGGTTCGATAAGAAGGGATTTTTCGAAATTCCAGTTCCAAGGGGGTGAAACCACCCCTCAAATATTACAATATTTTTTATTTAAAAAACGGCCAAGTTTCCGTAAAAACGCTTAAACACGTATATTTTATTTTTTCTTACATATTTTAAGATTTTTTAAAAATGTATACAGGGTGTTTCGAAAAATCTGGTCATTAATTAATTACGATCCTGCTTAAAACGCTTGCTACCTTGTACTAGGCTGTACCTTGCTACTCCTACTAGGTGTTAAACGCTATAAACAGGAGCTATTATTACTATAAGCTGAGAATGATGATGCTATAATTTCTAATCAGAAAATAAATAAAAAATAGTTCTAAAAATATTCTTTAACACAGTATTTTAAAAAACAAGAGTAAATTTGACAGAAATATGACCTTTGGCTAGTACAACAATGGGTTACTCATACAATCCTTTCATCTAATCTACATTATCGACGCTTATTAGGAAAAATAAATTGTTTTTTGAAGTGGTCCACTTCGGGTCGGACCAGTGGAAGGTGTAAAACTAATACGGCATTCAAGGTTCGCTGACTTTTTATAATACAAGGTGTTCGGTACTGTAGGTACGTCCAAGATTGCTCGGTCATTATTAGAGATGTGCCGAAAGCTTATAAAGAGCTAGGCATATTTTTATTGTTATTTTGTTACACGCTTTGAAGGAATTTAATGTTAAAATTTTGATGTGTTAGTTTAATATATTTTGTTCTAGTGGACCGATCTTGATAATATTTTAAGCAATTTCTAGCTAAATTATTTGAGTTTTTAGTATCTCTTTCTAAAATAAAAATGGAAGTTTTCATCCATCAATTATACGAGGTAAAACCTAATGTTGATATTTTGGTGAAAGTTTGAAACACCCTGTGGAATATGTTAACAAAGCAAGGTCATATAAATGCTATTCAAGTTAACAAAGCAAGGTCATATAAATGCTATTCAAGTTAACAAAGCAAGGTCATATAAACTCCTGATGGACACATGCCATCGAGTTCGAAAGGACCCACTCCAAGAAAGTTTTCTCATTATAATTCGGTTTTAATATATTCTTTTGGTCATAATAATGCTATTTAATAATGAATTTATACCCCGCAATCCAAGAATCGTACTTCTTCAGCTAATGGTACACTGCTGATGGACACATGCCATCGAGTTCGAAAGGACCCACTCCATGAAAGTTTTCTCGTTATAATTCGGTTTTAATATATTCTTTTGGTGATAATAATGTTATTTAATAATGAATTTATACACCGCAATATAAGAATCGTACTTCTTCAGCTAATGGCAAACTGCTGATGGACACATGCCATCGAGTTCGAAAGGACCCACTCCAGAAAAGCTTTCTCATTATAATTCGCTTTTAATATATTTTTTTGGTGATAATAATGTTATTTAATAATGAATTTATACCGCGCAATCCAAGAATCGTACTTCTTCAGCTAATGGTAAACTGCTGATGGACACATGCCATCGAGTTCGAAAGGACCCACTCCAAGAAAGTTTTCTCGTTATAATTCGGTTTTAATATATTCTTTTGGTCATAATAATGCTATTTAATAATGAATTTATACCCCCCAATCCAAGAATCGTAGTTTTTCAGCTAATGGTTAACTGCTGATGGACACACGCCATCGAGTTCGAAAGGACCCACTACATGAAAGTTTTCTCGTAATAATCCGGTTTTAATATATTCTTTTGGTGATAATAATGTTATTTAATAATGAACTTATACCGCGCAATTCAAGAATCGTACTTCTTCAGCTAATGGTAAACTGCTGATGGACACATGCCATCGAGTTCGAAAGGACCCACTCCAAGAAAGTTTTCTCGTTATAATTCGGTTTTAATATATTCTTTTGGTCATAATAATGCTATTTAATAATGAATTTATACCCCCCAATCCAAGAATCGTAGTTTTTCAGCTAATGGTTAACTGCTGATGGACACACGCCATCGAGTTCGAAAGGACCCACTCCAGGAAAATTTTCTCATTATAATTCGGTTTTAATATATTCTTTTGGTGATAATAATGCTATTTAATAATGAATTTATACCCCGCAATCCAAGAATCGTAGTTCTTCAGCTAATGGTTAACTGCTGATGGACACACGCCATCGAGTTCGAAAGGACCCACTCCAGGAAAGTTTTCTCATTATAATTCGGTTTTAATATATTCTTTTGGTCATAATAATGCTATTTAATAATGAATTTATACCCCGCAATCCAAGAATCGTACTTCTTCAGCTAATGGTAAACTCCTGATGGACACATGCCATCGAGTTCGAAAGGACCCACTCCAAGAAAGTTTTCTCATTATAATTCGGCTTTAATATATTTTTTTGGTGATAATAATGCTATTTAATAATGAATTTATACCCCCGCAATCCAAGAATCGTAGTTCTTCAGCTAATGGTTAACTGCTGATGGACACACGCCATCGAGTTCGAAAGGACCCACTCCATGAAAGTTTTCTCATTATAATTCGGTTTTAATATATTCTTTTGGTCATAATAATTCTATTTAATAATGAATTTATACCCCGCAATCCAAGAATCGTACTTCTTCAGCTAATGGTAAACTCCTGATGGACACATGCCATCGAGTTCGAAAGGACCCACTCCAAGAAAGTTTTCTCATTATAATTCGGTTTTAATATATTCTTTTGGTGATAATAATGCTATTTAATAATGAATTTATACCCCGCAATCCAAGAATCGTACTTCTTCAGCTAATGGTAAACTGCTGATGGACACACGCCATCGAGTTCGAAAGGACCCTCTCCAGGAAAGTTTTCATTATAATTCGGTTTTAATATATTCTTTTGGTTATATAAATGCTATTTAATAATGAATTTATACCCCGCAATCCAAGAATCGTACTTCTTCAGCTAATGGTAAACTCCTGATGGACACATGCCATCGAGTTCGAAAGGACCCTCTCCAGAAAAGTTTTCTCATTATAATTCGGTTTTAATATATTCTTTTGGTCATAATAATGCTATTTAATAATGAATTTATACCCCGCAATCCAAGAATCGTACTTCTTCAGCTAATGGTAAACTGCTGATGGACACATGCCACCTAGTTCGAAAGGACCCACTCCATGAAAGTTTTCTCGTTATAATTCGGTTTTAATATATTCTTTTGGTGATAATAATGTTATTTAATAATGAATTTATACACCGCAATATAAGAATCATACTTCTTCAGCTAATGGCAAACTGCTGATGGACACATGCCATCGAGTTCGAAAGGACCCACTCCAGAAAAGCTTTCTCATTATAATTCGCTTTTAATATATTCTTTTGGTGATAATAATGTTATTTAATAATGAATTTATACCACGCAATCCAAGAATCGTACTTCTTCAGCTAATGGTAAACTGCTGATGGACACATGCCATCGAGTTCGAAAGGATCCACTCCATGAAAGTTTTCTCGTTATAATTCGGTTTTAATATATTCTTTTGGTGATAAAAATGTTATTTAATAATGAACTTATACCGCGCAATTCAAGAATCGTACTTCTTCAGCTAATGGTAAACTGCTGATGGACACATGCCATCGAGTTCGAAAGGACCCACTCCAAGAAAGTTTTCTCGTTATAATTCGGTTTTAATATATTCTTTTGGTCATAATAATGCTATTTAATAATGAATTTATACCCCGCAATCCAAGAATCGTAGTTCTTCAGCTAATGGTTAACTGCTGATGGACACACGCCATCGAGTTCGAAAGGACCCACTCCAGGAAAGTTTTCTCATTATAATTCGGTTTTAATATATTCTTTTGGTCATAATAATGCTATTTAATAATGAATTTATACCCCGCAATCCAAGAATCGTACTTCTTCAGCTAATGGTAAACTCCTGATGGACACATGCCATCGAGTTCGAAAGGACCCACTCCAAGAAAGTTTTCTCATTATAATTCGGCTTTAATATATTTTTTTTGGTGATAATAATGCTATTTAATAATGAATTTATACCCCGCAATCCAAGAATCGTAGTTCTTCAGCTAATGGTTAACTGCTGATGGACACACGCCATCGAGTTCGAAAGGACCCACTCCAGGAAAGTTTTCTCATTATAATTCGGTTTTAATATATTCTTTTGGTCATAATAATTCTATTTAATAATGAATTTATACCCCGCAATCCAAGAATCGTACTTCTTCAGCTAATGGTAAACTCCTGATGGACACATGCCATCGAGTTCGAAAGGACCCACTCCAAGAAAGTTTTCTCATTATAATTCGGTTTTAATATATTCTTTTGGTGATAATAATGCTATTTAATAATGAATTTATACCCCGCAATCCAAGAATCGTACTTCTTCAGCTAATGGTAAACTGCTGATGGACACACGCCATCGAGTTCGAAAGGACCCTCTCCAGGAAAGTTTTCTCATTATAATTCGGTTTTA